GCCTGCCAAAGATGGAAGCAGTTGTTTATTCTGCTTTGGGAAACTGCATGTTTCTGATGAGCAACCTGCAGATGGAGAATATAAGCCTGGTGCCCATAAAGCCATAAAAATTTCTTTCTTGTATTATGGAGAAGACTATGGGGTTTGCCTCTGACACAGATTGGGAACTGCTCAGGTCCTCACTGAGACTGGCTCAGTATCTATACTGGTTCTCCTTCACTGTTTGTTTTATCTTCTAGTCTGGGGAAACTGTCCACCAAGAAGGCTACAGCTGAAGGACAAGCCTGTTGTAATGCTTTGAGATGGGGTTGGGAAAGTAGAGTAGACCTACACTTTGCGTCTGAGACTTCATGTTACTGCAAAGATAGTTTGATACCCAGCTATTGTGGCAGGTCTAGTCTGAGCATGCACATGCATGTGCAAACACACACAAAATTCATTTTCTTTCTGTCGATGTCTCAAACTGACTACTTGGTGATGTTTATGCAGGAGATACCAGAAAGCTATTCAACCTTAATCTCAGCACCAAGCCCTCCACTGTCATAGGTCTAGTTCTTGGGACCAAGTTTTCTAGTACAGATCTAGTTTTCTTAGCAGTCTTCAAAACCCAAAGATCCCACAGGTCTCTACTTAAAGTCTAGAGCTGTTGTTTCTTTTTTTAGTTGTCCCGTTAGTATTGACACTGGTTTAATCTTGGATTCAGGAGCAAGTTGAACATTGTCTGACATCGTATATCTTGCACCACTGTAGACGAGAACCTAAGTGTTAATTATGTCTAAAGGTGAAGCCTCACCTTGATCATCCTCTCTTGAACTGTGCCTGTCAGGGAAGCTCACCACTGGACATTAATCAGTTTAATTTATACTGGAGCATGTTTGCACTTCTCTCTACTTTGGAAATTGGGGGGGAAGATCATGTTAAGAGGTCCTACCAACCAAGTAGTTCTCTGCTGAAAGATCTGCAAAAACTTATCATGAGCTACCCCCCTGCAGTATCAGTAAGAGATAATGCTGCCCTAGCCAATGTAGACCTTTTGGCCCTAGCCACCCGCTCCTGGTTAGCCAGTTTGGATCCCACTTCTCTTGATGCACACCTACAGGACTGTCTCCGTATTTCAAGCTGCATCCTTGAAAGCAGCCACAACATCATCAACAGATTTTGGGTCTCCTCTCACCATGGTAACTTTTAAATTCTTCCATGATCTCCTAAGAATAGCTGTTCTTAGAGGATGAAGCAGAACTGGAGTATTTGCCCCTTCTTTAAGTGAGGAGGTTGGTCTGGTAGATCTGTTTTACATAAATACTACGTGAAACAAAGGCATTTTCTTGCAGTTAGGTTTGCCAAAATCCACTTTGTTCTAATCTTTTGACTAAGCAGGTTGACGAGAAAGATTATGCCTCCTCTGAAACATTGAATTTTTGATTGTTCCTTCCTTCTTTTTCCTATTTAATTAGTGGTGGTTACAGCAAATGTGAAGGGAGGAAAAATAGCAAAGCTCCTCTAGCAAAGAATGTGATGAAGACAAATTAGACTTTCTGGGTAAGTGCTCAGTTATACTCCAATTGAAGATTGCTAATTACTAATCCCTCATGGCTAAACATAACTCTTCTCCTGACTGTGACCAGTGCAAATTGACTGCTACATCCTCTTTCTTTACTTTGTAAGAAACAGAAAGATGCCCGAGTTTCATTGCAATAGCCCTAGAGGCAGGAGATATAGCATATCATTTCATTGTTACTACAGTAGCTATGAGACCCACCCACTTTTGCAGAAAGATGTTTCAGCTTGTAGAAAACTTGCTGTTATTTGAAGTAACAGAACTTCTCAGTTCCAGAGTAGACAGTTCTTAAAGGCCACGCTGTGCTCTTTAAGAGCATTGTCCTCAACACTGAGGTAGAGACCAGAGTATCAGTTTTATCATTGCTAAGGTTCTATAAGCCTTTGGGTACTGTGAGGGAGCAGCAGTAGCGGGGCCACTCCACAAGGGAGGATGAGCCAGGAGCTAAGGGTGACCACAGGACAGGCAGTGCCCTCACCAACTAGGGTGCAGTCCCACAGCGTCTGACCAGGGTAGGCAGAGCAGGGGTGCTGATAACAGTCTATCAACAGTGCCAGGCAAGGCAAGGTGATGAACCAGATCCAGGGTCCATTCAGGGAGTCCAGTCAGGAGCAGCGGGAGACAGGGCTAGATACAAGACTGGAGATAAGGCTACAACATAGATCTAACGTCCATCCAGGAGACAGGGCTGGAGATAGCTATATCTACAACATAGCTTAGGAAAGGGCTGAATGCCCAGGCCTGAGCTTAAATGGAGCTCCTGGGCCCATGGGCAGAGGGTATGGGTGGAGGCCCCAGGTGAGCCTGGTCAGGGCCATTAAGGCCTGTTGGTGCTCTCAGGGCTTCCAGTAGTGGTCCAAGTGCTTTTGCAGTATAGTCTTGTGCATCCAGCTCCTGAAGGCAGCTTTTTGCCTTGAGGCAGCACGTTTACAGGTGCATTCCTACTTCTGCTGGTGTCTTCTTCCTCCTTTTCTCCCACTTCTCAGGAACAGATGTTTCCATTTCAGCTTAGCATGTGTTGGTATCACAGTGGAACAGTGGGTGCTAAAGACTTTTTAACTCATAGTGCACTATAAAGTTTTGTATACTTCTATCTTCCAATTCCTCTATCCTGTCCCTTACCAGGAGCCTCTTGTATAAGATGCTGTTTCAATAGGAAGTTACTTCATTCTGTATGTTTTAAAGGCAGTAGAGCAAGTTTCCCTTCATCTCAAGGGAAGGTCATTCTCCCCCACCCCCGCAAATATCTTAATATCAAAAAAGATA